AAGAAATCTTTATTTTTAAATGTATTTTATTATATAATAATAATAATTACTGTTACTGTCTATCATTGTCTAAATGTATTTTTACTGTCTAAGTACATGTATTCAGCTAGTGTAAACATGCACGATGTTATCACAGCTAATGCAAGGTTGAGACTGAAGTGTTACCCTTTGTTTCCGCTGAGAGACGTGCCGCGTAACTCATTTCCCCGCGCATAAAAGTTATCTTAGGTCGGCGTTCACGGTTTGACTTCTGAGATTCAGATCGAGCTCTAGGTAATTTTTTTTTAACTGGTTGGTTTGACTTTTAAGAAATTCAAGTTCTAATGAGTTTGAGAACTGAGGTACCACTGTATAATATAATACACTGCATTTGGCACAAGGCAGGAACCAACCACACAGCTTTGTCATGCATATGGTCAATTTAGGCACTCCATTTTACTTATGTTTAATGTTTTTGGACAGTATAAGGAAATCAGCAGATATGGCAAAAAGGCACACTCACAGGGTGAACATGCAAATTCCACACACACAAAGCGGCGGTGTGTGGCGACAGCACTTCCCAGTGCACCGCTGTACCGCTAAGCTTGTATGATGTACAATGTTAATATCTATATGGCATTTCATGCAAATTCAATCATCACATTGCAAGGACCTTATTATCTAGTCAAGATTTTAAAAAGCAGCTTTATAAAGTATATCACTGCTGCTTTTGCATGAGCACTGCATGCAATCTCCGAGACAACCATATCATTTTCTTCCTATCTTCATAGACTTCATAGACTGTGTGGCGCGTTTGTGAGAAATTAACCAAAAAGAAAGACGAAGAACTGCTGACAAAAAGCCATTTGTATTCTTCTGTATGGATGTATTTTGTATTTTATAGTGACAATGAGCAAAAGCAAGTGATTTGTCATCACTGCTTTGTGCCTGTTGGTGCAACTCTCCAGAACACCTATGAGGCGCTATTTGTAAGTCACTAAGCGTTTTTTTAATTACCACTTTTTCAACATTTAGTGCAGTTTTATTACATTTACCTAGAAATAAACAGTATTAAAAATCTTCACAACTTTTGGCCATGTATAATATTTGAAAAATTACTATTTGTAAATATGAATATTATGCAAACACGACATTGGCATGCAGGAGAAAACAACCAATACGACATACCAAAGTACAAAAAAGTTCCCTAGGTGGTTTAGCACTTTACATACTGGGAATTGCCCGGAAAGTATTGAAAGTGCCACACCAAAACGATGGTTCCAGATGTGGTGGAAAAACACCCTAAAGACATTCTGGAGAGAGGTAGTAGCCTATTAACAGAGGCACTAGTACTGGCTGTGGCCGTAGCCTGTCCTGTAGTGGCCATCGCTTCATGGAATGATTATATTTTAAACGATTGTCAAAATCCTCTCTCAAAGCATTACCTTCTACCTGCTGGAGCAGAGAGAGTACTTCTTGCCTAAATATTGCTCTAAAAGACTTTTTGAATTGAGGCCGTAGCCTGATGTGTAGTGGCTGTCGCCTCATTGATTAGATATTATGCGTGTGTCTCAGGCTGTTTTCCGTGACCAAGCCCCACTTGCTAGAGAGCTGTAATTGGACAGTGATTACATTTCCAGGTGACATGATTTTGGCATGTACTTTTTGAAAATGTAAATGAGCCAATACAACAGAGCAAAGATACCACTGGATTTTGATGTGGCACAGTTTCATTGTTAAATTGTGTGTAATGTAAACCCTTCTAATTGTTTTTTCTGGATGGTAATTGAACAAATCAATGAAATGATGGTTTTACTTTTCATTGTTTCATATTCTCTTTACCACACTCACTGAAAACCAATGCCTCTTGTGCATTGCATTTCCACAAGGCAGTTTCTGCGTTTTGCGCACTGTAAAAAATACATCACGTTTATTATTTTCCCCCGTATGCCAATGTCGTGTTTGCATTTCAAGGTGGCAGGAAATCCGCTCCACAATGCAGCACGAACAACTGCCAAAACCACACGTACTATCGCCTCTGAAGGAACAGAATGCTGTCCTCCATCACCGGCAGCCACTTAGCACGCTTTCTTCGTTAACGCCCATTTCCATCCAAACAAGTCAGAGTGGCATGGGTAATTTAAATGTTCTCAACATTTAGTCTACATTAAACATTTACATTTAACATTTATATTTATATGTGTGTATACCCTATTTCATCAATATTTAACAATTAAGTAAAAAAGTTCTTAGTGACTACAAATGGCACCCCATAAACACTACGTTATTTGACACACTTGTGGTAGATAATAAGTTAAAGGTAGATAAGTTCTACATCTAACTATGTATTTAATTGTCAACTCCTAAATATCGCAATGTGATCTTTTTCTTGTCTAGTTCAGAAATACTCAAAACAGGCAGTACGTTAACAAAAATAATGTTAATTGGTTATTATCATATTATGTAAAATGATGTGGCCAAGCGACGGGGTAACCTTTGTTTGAGCATCGATTATTTTGACATACAGGAATCACTATAAGCAAAATAAATTAAGTCAACGACAAATGAAGACAAATTAAGGCAAATTAAGACCTTGCATTATTGGGTGAGCCCGTCAAACCTGAATGTCTTCTTTTAAGATGTATTTGCTTTGCAGTCGTGCAATAGTGATATTCAAGTTCTTCTTTGCAATACTGACAGACAACTGCATTTTCATTCACTTTTAACATGAAGTGCTTTCACATCCTGCATGTGCCGTTTACCTTCCGTCATATTGCCGAGTAATTGAGAAGGAAATTTTAGATCAGTTTTAATAATTGAGTAATCGAGTTTAATCGAGTAGTCGTGACAGCTCTACTGAGGTAAGATTAAAATTATTTGAGAATCTGGTATGGACCAGATGATTTTTAAAATTATGTCCTGATGCATAAAATCATAGAACTTTCTCTTTCACATGACTATATCACTGCAGTTAATTAGCCACCACCGCAATTAGTGAGCAATCCAATATGGCAATTCCATTCTGTGCTGTACTGTCATTCTTCATTCGAAAAAGTTCGGAGACCATTTTAAATCCAGCCACATAGAGGACTACAGCTCGGGGCCAGTTCTAGACATGCATATAC